ATTACAGGCTTGAGCCACCGCGCCCGGCCCAAAAAACACTTCTAACAGCTTCCTTCTTCATGGCTGTCTTTGGCAATGTTTCCAATTTTTTTTTTTAAGAGACGTGATCTTGCTTTGTCACCCAGGCTGGGGTGAGTGGCCTCATTGCAGCTGACTGCAGCCTCAATTTCTCGTGCCCAAGCCATCCAAAGTTCTTTGTTCTATTACGTGGACAGACACAAAGGGCATGGCATTTATTAAGTTCTGTTAAAGTCTTCTCTGCCTCTCTCGTGTCTGTATTTATGTGGCCCATATCTTCTATGTGGTTGAGTTGTTCCCCTTGTTTATCCAGTATTGTGATGATCTTGATTCCTGCATATTGAGACTCAATGGCTAAACTGAGGATTCTCCTTGTACTTTCTAGAGACTCAGCAGCAACTTGGTGAAGCCTCAGATGAATTCTGTTTTGATTCAGGATCTTGCTGTGGCTCCCCCAGGCTGAAGTGCAGTGGCAGTGGCACCATCATAGCTTACTGCAGCCTCAAATTCTTGGGCTCAAGCAATCTTCCTGCCTCAGCCTCCCCAGTAGCTGGGACTACAGGCACACCTCACTATGCCCAGCTAATTTTAAAAAATTTATTGTACAGACAGGGTCTTGTTACGTTGTCCCAGCTGGTCTCGAACTCCTAGGCCCAAGTGATCTTCCCACTTCAGCCTCCTAAAGTTCTGGAATTTACAGGTGTGAGCCACTGGGCTCAGCTCTGAATTTCTTCTAATGACAGATTATCCATGATGAATCAAAACTATCAGGCATGGGCCAGGTGCGGTAGCTTACACCTGTAATCCTAGCACTTTGGGAGGCTGAGGCAGGCAGATCACTAGAGGTCAAGAGTTCATAACCAGCCTGACCAACGTGGCAAAACCCTGTCTCTACTAAAAAATACAAAAATTAGCTGGACACGGTGACACACACCTGTAGTCCCAGCTACCTGGAAGGCTAAGGAACAAGAATCACTTGAACCTGGGAGGCCGAGGTTGCAGTGAGCTGAGATCACACCACTGCACTCCAGCCTGGGCAACAGAGCAAGACTCCTCAAAAAAAAAAAAAATTACTTGGCTAATTTTTGTATTTTTAGTAGAGACTGGGTTTCACCATGTTGGCCAGGCTGGTCTCAAACTCCTGACCTCAGGTGATCTGCCCGCCTCTGCCTCCCAAAGTGCTGGGATTACAGGCATGAGACACTGTGCCCAGCCTCTGAAGACCCACTTCTGCATACCTATCATAGGCAGAAAGCAGCCCTAGGTTCCTGCTGCCCTCTGAGAGAGTCCTGGAAGGTACTCTGTCCTTGACCTTTGGGCCACATTCCATGGACTCCTGGTAAAGTCTCACTTCTCCCTTCCCTTCCACCAAAAGAGGAAAGAAGGAGAACTTAATGGCTGGGCACAGTAGCTCATGCCTATAATCCCAACACTTTGGGAGGCTAAGGCAGGAGGATCACTTGAGGCCAGAAGTTTGAGACCAGCCTGGGCAACAGTGAGACCCCATCTGTCCCCCTCCCCATCTTCCCCACCAATGAACTTTCTCCTGCTAGCTTTCCATATTGATCATTTTTTGACTCTTGCTATTTCAACCATTCTTCAGCCTTTAACTCTCACAATAACCTGCATAAAGTAGGTACTATTATCATCATCACCAACACCCCTCCTTTTTATAGAGAGGTACGGGCTCAGAGAGGTTGACGAACTTGACTTAGGCCACTCAGCTGGATTCGAAGCCCGGCAGCCTGGCTCTAGAGCCCGCCTCTTAAACACTGCTTAGATCTAGCCTGGTACCATGCTTCACACCTGTAACCCCAGCTCTCTGGGGAGCCAAGGCAGGCAGATTGCTTCAGCCCAAGAGTTTGAGACCAGCCTGGGCAACACAGTGACACTTTGTCTCTATTTATTTATTTTTTATTTATTGATATATTTTTTGAGATGGAGTCTGGCTCTGTCGCCCAGGCTGGAGTGCAGTAGTGCAATCTTGGCTCACTGCAACCTTGGCCTCCCAGGTTCAAGCAATTGTTGTGCCTCAGCCTCCTGAGTAGCTGGGACTACAGGTGCGTGTCACTATGCCCAGCTAATTTTTGTAGTTTTAGTAGAGATGGGATTGTGCCATGTTGACCAGGCTGGTCTCGAACTCCTGACCTCAGGTGATCTACCCACCTTGGCCTCCTAAAGTGCTGGGATTATAGGAGTGAGCCACCACATTCAGCCTTGTCTCTATTTAAATAAATAAATAAATAACTGCCCTGCTCCACTTCCAATGTATTTCTTCCACTTCAACCTTGATGCTCTTTTCAGTCTTGCCCTGGAGAGGAAGGGCTGCTCTGATGTGCTGGAGAGCAGATGGACAGTGGTAGATAATATGGGGCCCTGGCTCCTGTGTACAGAGAACACACTTAGCACAAGACTAACATTTGCAGGCTCTAGGGCAGAAATACAAATGTCAGCTCAGATGCTCTGAGGGTCAACGTTTTAAAGCTCTATGTAAAGCTTTTGAATAAGACATTCTGTCTTCCTTCCTTTATAAATGTACCTTTGAAAAGATCTGGAAGAGCAGGTCAAAGATGGAATTCTCAGGCTCCTCAGAGCTCCACACCAGAAAGCAGCAGCACCGGGTGGCTGGCCCAAGACCAGCACCTTGCTCTCTCCACCTCAGGCTTCACCCTGCACCACAAGGCTTTGCATGTGTGCATGAATGCCCAGCCCTGTCCAAACCCCCTGCAAACCCCTTTTTGACCCAAGTCACCCTTCCAGCATGCGAGTGCTCACAAGCTGCTGTGCAGCCCCTCTCTGAAGAAGTGACCCAGGCAAGGGTCTCCACAGGCCAGGGGCCTATGGGTCGGGAATTCCAGGGCCCTGTGCAACAGCAGCGTGGTCTCAAAGGGAGTGGCATGTGTTCTAGATGTGCACACCCATTCGGCTCACAGACAGGAGGGAGCAGCTGGAGGAGGGCCAGGATGAAGCCCTCTAAAGCAGGGGCACGGCAAAGGTCTGCAGGCTTGCCCAGGTCTAAGGCAGGTCTAAAAATCCCACTTCAAGAGATGGAAAAAATATAATTTCCCATCAAGAAGCGTGAAAAATACACTTCTAGGTCAGGCATGGTGCCTCACACCTGTAATCCCAGCACTTTGGGAGGCAGAGGCGGGTGGATCACCTGAACTAAGGAGTTCAAGACCAGCTTGACCAACATGGTGAAACCCCGTCTCTACTAAAAGTACAAAAATTAGCTGGGTGTGGTGGCACATGCCTGTAGTCCCAACTATTTAGGAGGCTGAGGCAGGAGAATTGCTTGAACCTGGGAGGCGGAGGTTGCAGTGAGCCACTGTAATCCCAGCAATTTGGGAGGCCAACGTGGGTGGATCACTTGAGCCCAGAGGTTTGAAACCAGCCTGGGCAACACAGAGAGACCCTATCTCTACAAAAAAAATTTAAATATATACATTTAAAATTGTTTTAATTAAAAATATATAAAATAAGGAAATAGAGGACATAAATAATATATTAGCTACAACTTATATCCTAATAAAGGAGATTTCCTGTTTTGTATGAGTAGATTTTTTTGTTTTTTTGAGACGGAGTCTCGCTCTGTCGCTCATTTGGAGTGCAATGGTGCAATCTTGGCTCACTGCAACCTCTGCCTCCTGGGTTCAAGCAATTCTCCTGCCTCAGCCTCCTGAGTAGCTGGGATTACAGGTACATGCTACCACGCCCAGCTAATTTTCATATTTTTAGTAGAGACGGGGTTTCACCACGTTGGTCAGGCTAGTCTCAAACGTGTAGATTTTTGTAACATGTAAACATATATTTAAACAGAAATAGGCCAGGCGCGGTGGTTCACGCCTGTAATCCCAGCACTTTCGGAGGCCGAGGCAGGCAGATCACCTGAGGTCAGGAGTTTAAGACCAGCCTGGCCGACATGGTGAAACAATCTCTACTAAAAATACAAAAATTAGCTGAGCATGGTAGTCGGCGCCTGTAGTTCCAGCTACTTGGGAGGCTGAAGCAGGAGAATTGCTTGAACCCGGGAGGTGGAGGTTGTAGTGAGCCAAATTTTGCGCCACTACACTCCAGCCTGGGTGACAAAGCGACACTCCATCTCGGAAAAAAAAGAACAAAACAAATTAAAGTGCCTCCATTTTAAGAAAGATAAGAAACAACAATCAGATACTTCTCAATGTTTAGCTGTTAACACTCTTCTGCATCTCAGTTGGGCTTTAAAAGTGAGATTGAGACATAAGACTTGTTCTTTCCCAGCATAACCAAATGTGTCCATGCCTTTCTGGATCCAAAATAAAATGAAAAGTTATCTTCCTCAAGGAGCACATCATAAACAATGTGTCTTTTCAGAATGTCTTACATTAGACAGATTGGGATTTTTTTTTGTTTTTTCGGGGGGGGGGGCGCGGTTCAGAATCTCGCTTTGTCGTCCAGGCTGGAGTACAGTGGCACGACCTCAGCTCACTGCAACCTCTACCTCCCAGGTTCAAGTGATTCTCCTGCCTCAGCCTCTCAAGTAGCTGGGATTACAGGCGCCCGCTACCACACCCGGCTAATTTTTGTATTTTTAGTAGAGATGGGGTTTCACCATGTTGGCCAGACTGGTCTCAAACTCCCGACCTCAGGTGACCCGTCCTGTCCTCCCAAGTGCTGGGATTACAGGCATGAAGCACCGCGCCCGACCTAGACAGATTGTTTTATAAGGGTTTGGAAAGAAAGGAAACTACATGAATGAGTACTTAGTCTCCTGCTCCTTGAAGTGGATGAATTGTTTTCTTTGGTTTCCAACACAGTCTGTTAAGAGTTGTAGCAAACCCCAAGAGTATGTGTACGTAGTAGAGCTGGGGTGGGGAGGATTCCCAAGGGAATCTTTAGCTATCACCATGCAGAGCAGAGGAGGACACTCAGCCTTTCCGTGGCTCTCACCTGCATCATTCTTCCAGTGGCTGCAAAGGGTGATAGGCATTAGGCGAAGACACCCCCTGACACCACGAGCGGTGTCCACAGACATGACTGTTTGGCACAGCTCGAGGGTTTTCTACAGAAACTGGCAGAGATGCTAGACAGACACAAGATGCCAGCCAGCCTCGTTTGTGACTGACTCTTTTTTTTTTTTTTTGAGACAGAGTCTTGCACTGTCGCCCAGGCTGCAGTGCAGTGGCCCAATCTCCACTCACTGCAAGCTCCGCCTCTGGGTTCACACCATTCTCCTGCCTCAGCCTCCTGAGTAGCTAGGACTACAGGTGCCCGCCACCACACCCAGCTAATTTTTTGTATTTTTAGTAGAGATGGGGTTTCACCGTGTTAGCCAGGATGGTCTTGATCTCCTGACCTCATGATCCACCTGCCTTGGCCTCCCAAAGTGCTGAGATTACAGGCGTGAGCCACCGCGCCCGGCTGTGACTGGCTCTTAGAGGTAGAAAATAGTAAAGTCATCAGGCTCATTCTCCCTAGGACTAGAGGAACATGTTAATTATATTAAAGCATATTAGTGGGCTGGCGCCGGTGGCTCACACCTGTAATCCCAGCACTTTGGGAGGCTGAGGCGGGTGGATCATGAGGTCAGGAGATCAAGACCATCCTGGCTAACATGGTGAAACCCCGTCTCTCCTAAGAACACAAAAAATTAGCCGGGCGTGGTGGTGGGCGCCTGTAGTCCCAGCTGCTCAGGAGGCTGAGGCAGGAGAATGGTGTGAACCTGGGAGACAGAGCTTGCAGTGAGCCGAGATCGCACCACTGCACTCCAGCCTGGGTGACAGTGCGAGACTCCATCTCAAAAAAAAAAAAAAAAAAAAGCAGATTAGAATGATTAAGATGATTACTGGTACTATTGCTGCAATAGTAAAAATACATCTTTTTCACCAATGTCTCTCACTCATGTACTTTTCTCCATAGACTTCACTTATTTATATATGGTATTTCATTCAACATGCAACAGACATTTATTGAGCAGCTACTGTGTGCCTAGTGCTGGGGGTACAGCTGTGAATACCATCAATACGGGGTTGGTGCGGTGGCTCACCCCTGTAATCCCTTCTCTTTTTTTGAGATGGGAGTTTCGCTCTTGTCGCCCAGGCTGGAGTGCGATGGCGCGATCTCAGCTCACTGCAACCTCTGCCTCCTGAGTTCAAATGATTCTTCTGCCTCAGCCTCCCAAGTAGCTGGGATTACAAGCATGCGCCACCATGCCCGGCTAATTTTGTGTTTTTAGTAGAGACAGGATTTCTCCATGTTGGTCAGGTCTCAAACTCCCAACCTCAGGTGATCTGTGTGCCTTAGCCCCCCAAAGTGCTGGGATTACAGGCATGAGCCACCACGCCCGGCCCTATCCCAGTGCTTTAGGAGGCTGAGGTGGGAGGATCACTTGAGGTCAGGAGTTTGCCTGGGCAACATAGTGAGAGCTCATTTCTACAAAAAAAATTCAAAATTAGCCAGGTGTGGTGGCAGGTGCCTGTAGTCCTAGCTACTCAGGAGGCTGAGGTGGGAGGATTGCTTTAGCCCAGGAGGTCCAGGCTGCAATGAGCTATGATTGTGCCATTGCACTGCAGCCTGGGTGACAAAGCAAGACCCTGTCTCTTTAAAAAAAAAAAAAAAAAGAAAAAAAGAAAAGCCCTTGCTGTATAGAATCCCTTAGGTTATGGATGGGGGGAGAAGGGCAGGGGTTTAAGAGGGGAGAGGCGGAAGGAGGAACGACAATAAACAAAGAAGAGACAATTAGTTGGGGAGTGATAAATACCATAATGATATCATGGAACTAGGGCTACCAGATCAAATACTGGGCACCCAGTTCAATGTGAATTTCAGATAAGCAATGCATGATTTTTAAGTATAAATATGTCCTATACAATATTTATACTAGAAAATTATAAATTTTTTTCTAAAATTCACATTGACCTGGGCAGCTTGCATTTTATTTGCTAAAACTGGCAGCGCTAAATTGTGTTCTGGGTGATGCTGTGTGGGCAATTTCAGACAGGCCTCTTTGTGGAGGTGACATTTGAGCTGGAATCTAAACGTAAAGAAGGAGCCAATAATTCAGGGATCTAGAACATCCCAGCACAGGGAACAGCAAGTATAAACGCTCTAAAGTGGAAATAAGCTTGGAGCTTAGAGGAACAAGAAGAAAGTGGGGTGGCGGAGCTGAGTGAGGGTGAGGAGGAGGGAAGCAGAAGGTGATCAGGGCAGGCAGGGACCAGATCATGTAGGTTTGTCGGCTGTAATGAGTACCAAAAACTTACATACCAAGCCAGGCGCGGTGGCTCACGCCAGGAATCCCAGCATTTTGGGAGGTCAAGGTGTGCGGATCACTTGAGGCCAGGAGTTCGAGACCTGCCTGGCCGTGTCTCCCTCTAAAATAGAAGCTCCAAGAGGGACAGGAAGTTCTCCTGCGTCTGAGACCCTATGTGCATGACCTTGGATCGACCAGCATTGAACAATTCCTACGTGCCAAGCCCTGACATCAAAATAGGTCAAAAGCCAGCAGCCGCTCGCTGAATCTGCGTTCCTCTTTGGAAAACGGAAACCGTGAAGCCTGTTGGAATGGTCAGAGCCAAAGGGCATTGTCACTTGTGACATCAGCGTAGAAACAGAGCGGGGTCCGGATTGGCCCTTAGAACTTGGGTGGGGACAGAGCATTCCTGGCCCCGCCCCCTGCAGCGGGCCGCTCGCGCATGCGATCTGGCCTCAGCCTCGCAGTCGCGCCATTTTGCCGGGGTTTGAATGTGAGGCGGAGCGGCTGCAGGAGCGGGTAGTGCCAGCTACAGTCCGCGGCTGGGGTTCCCTCCTCCGTTTCTGTATCCCCACGAGGTGAGGCGCGGGCCGTGCACGGCCTACCAGAGTGGCTCTTGGGCCCCAGCTGAGGAAGGGATGAGGCGCTCCCGGTACTTCCGAGCGCTAGGGAGTGAGAACCGCGCCTCTGGGCGAGAGCGGAATGTGGCCGCGGGGCTCGGGCGGTGCGCTGAGGCAAGGTCTTCGCCTCCCTAGGCAGCGCTCGCCGCGCCTCGCGCCGTCCTAGGTCTCTGACCCAGGCCCGACGGCTCCGGGGCCTGTGAGGGGTGAGGGCAGCTGAGGCGCGGCCTAACGCAAGCCTGCGGATTGCCCGCCCTTTCCTCTCCATCACGGCGCTGATTGGTTGCGCCGCCGCGTCTCCGCTCGGAAAGGCTGCTTCTTATTGGTCGCGCTCGCGTGTCCGTTCTCTGCGACGGGGGCTTCCAGCCGCGCGAGCTGGGTGTGCGGCTCCGAGGCCTGCCCAGGCGGGGACTGCGGACGCGTGGAGCTGCGGTTGCCGCGCGATCCCCCCTTGCCCGAACTCTGGTGAAGCCCCCGAACTCACCCTCTCTAACCTCCGTACTTGAATCCCTGACTGTAAAACGGGCATCGTGATCTCACTTTGCTGAATCGTTTGTGAGAATTCTAGTCGGTACACCCGGGACATAGAAATCCCCTGTAACAGGGGGGTTCCCTCATTCTGGGAGAAACGCTGTGCCGTGGTGGTTCGGAGCATAGACTTTGGAATTATATCGCCTGGGTTCATTCCAGACGTAGCCTCTCTCTAGGGGTGTAACTTGGGGCTGGTCATCTTAGCTCACTGAGCCTCCATTTCCTTAGCTGCAAAATGGGTTTAATAACGGAGTCTACCTCGTAGAGTGGCTTTGAGGATGCTCTGAGTTATTTACCGTGGTTTACAAAGGTTGCCTGGGAGCTGATGGTTGTTTATTCATCTCTCCCACCCATCTTTCTCCTTAGCCAGTATGGTTTTCTGTTTTCTTCCATATTCCAGGCTTATTCCGATTTAAAATTATTTGCACGTTCCTTTTGTTTGCTGGGGAATTACCAACATCATTTTTGCAAGGCAGGCCCCCTCCCAAGTTTTCCTCACCTTAGGCCTCCGCTAACCAACCTCTTTTCTTTTTCTTTTTTGTGAGAGGGAGTCTCGCTCTGCCTCCCAGGCTGGAGTGCAGTGGTGCGATCTCGGCTCACTGCAACCTCCGCCTCCCGGATTCAAGCGATTCTCCTGCCTCAGCCTCCCGAGTAGCTGAGACTACAGGTGCACGCCACCACACCCGGCTAATTTTTGTATTTTTATTAGAGACAGGGTTTCACCATGTTGGTCAAGCTGCCTAATCAACCTCTCTAGGACCCTTCTCTCATGGCTGTCCATCAACATCACCTGGTTTTAGTTACTTCATAGCATTTACTAACAATTACTTATTGCTTACTTATTATCTTTCTCAACTGCTAGAATGTAAGCTGTTTGAGAGCAACGACCTTGTCTGTCTTGCTTACTTCTCTCTCCCTGGTGGGTGCCACCTCCCCCTTGCCCCCACCGCCCCCGTGCTTGCCACATGGTAGATGCACAAGTATTACTCTTCCTTGGAGGCACAGAAGAGGACCCTTTACTCTTGGATTCCACCAATTGTTTTTTTTCGCCTCACCTTGGACCCACATCGTCAGATCTTTGGCCTTTCTTTGTATGTCTTTTTTTTTTTTCTTTTTGGCATGCTTTCAGAGGATCCTAATGGACCTAGTCGCTCCCCTCCTACAACCCTTTATCTTTCACTTCTTACCACCAGTGCAAGGGAAGTCTCTCTCCCCTTCTGATTACTTCTGCTGGTTGGGGTCTGAGATAGGATTGGATGGATGCAAGAGCAGTGCTCTAGTTTTGGAATTAATTTGTTTATTTAATAACTTTATTGAGCATCCACTTAATCTCTGGGAATATAGTGAAAAAGCAAAAATGGAGAGGGTCCCTTCCCTTGAGAACCATGTATTCTCGTGGGTGAAAGAAAAAACATTAGATAATTTCAGATAGTGACAGAATTATGTGACAGGTGAAGAAGGCTTTTCTGAGGAAGTGATATTTGGGTAGAGACCAGCCATTAAAAGGTGAGGGGCAGAACGTTCCAGGTAGAGAGAATAGAAGACTCAGGGATAGGAACCGGCTTGGAATATTGAAATATTTAAGGAATATCTTAGGTTCCTGGAGTGTTATGTGAAGAAGGGAGAAGTATCCAGGACCCGGATCATAGAAGGCTTTGTAGGCAATGTAAGGAGTTTGGATTTGATTCTAAGTGGTATATTCCTATGATTAGAAAGCAGAGGGTAGGTTGAGGTGTTGGGATATGTTCTTCATATATGGGTGCCAGATAGTTTTCATTCATTGGATCTCTTTCCCTGTTCCCAAATTTAAGGCCTCGGGAATGGTTCTCTAATGTGTTGAGGACATATCTAAGAAAAAGGCAGATATCTTGGATCAGCTTATGTCACAGATGTCTGTGAGATGGCTTTGGAAAACAAGGCCAGAAATTCCAGAAATCTCCACCTATAACTGAGGGCCTATGGGAAGATGCTAGATTTAGGTCTGGCCATTCATTCAACAAGAAGAACTTGGAAATTTAGATGTCAGGCATAACTGATTTATTGTGATGCTTTTTTAAATTTTTAAATTGTGTATTGATAGGGATTTTCAAAGATAGTTCCGTGGAGAAAGAAAAGTATCACCCTCTCATTTAAAGGTGATAAGAATGAATTCTTCTCTCTCTCTTTTTTTTTTTTTTAAAGACACCATCTTACTGTGTTGCCTGGGCTGACCTGGGCTCAGCCTATCCTACCTCAGCCTCCCAAGTAGCTAGGACTACAGGCATGCACCACCACACTCAACTAATTTTCATATTTTTTTGTAGAGATAGGGTTTCACTATGTTGCCCATGTTGGTCTCAAACTCCTGGACTCAACCAATCTGCTTACCTCGGCCTCCCAAAGAGCTGGGATTATAGGCATGAGCCACCCTACTTGGCCAAAATAATTTTTTGTTTCTAGTTTGAGTCATTTTTAGATCAGTAACACTTTTTGCATTTATATATTGCTAATATTTCAGAATGTCAAAGTACCTTTACTTGTGGTCACATAAGATTAGACCTTGATCTTGTTGATAATTATGAATACCTGCAGAATGTTCTCTAAAAGTCCCTGATTTCTCTCATTTTCTCAAATCAAAGATAAGCTTAGAATTTGGTTTTATAGACTTTATCAGTAAGGCGATATAAAAAGGATTTGTTGACAAATAGTTCCTTAAAGAAAATTCCCAAAGAATAAACTTTGGGAGGCCAAGGTGAGTGAATCACTTGAGCTCAGGAGTTCTGGACCACCCTGGGAAACATGGGAACCCCGTCTACAGAAAGAACACAAAAATTAGCCAGGTGTGGTGGTGCGTGCCTGTAGTCCCAGCTACTTGGGAGGCTGAAGTAGAAGGATGGCTTGAGCCCAGGAGGCAGAGGTTTCAGTGGGTCAGAATTATACCGTTGCATTTCTCCAGTCTAGGCAGCAGACCCAGACCCTGTCTTAAAAAAGAATGTTAAGATTCTGGGATCTATGTAGTATTTTAACTTTGAGGGATTATAACATGCATATTTATGTAACCCCTCACTTTTTCTAAAACTTAAAAATAGTCCTACCCTAGCATCTCAACTTAATCATTTTAGGTTTCATTCTATTATGTGGTTTTATTTATTTATTTTTATTTTATTTTATTTTATTTTTAGAGACAGGATTTCACTCAGTCACCCAGACTGGACTACAGTGGCAAGACCGCAGCTTATTGCAGCCTCGACCTCCCAGGCTCAAGCGATCCTCCTGCCTCAACTTCCCTAGTAGCTAGGACCACAGGAGGGTACCACCGAGCCCAGCTAATTTTTTAAATTTTTGTAGAGACAGGATCTCACTATTGTTGCCAAATCTGGTCTTAAACGGTCCTTGGGGTCAAGTGATCGTCCCATCTCGGCCTCCCAAAGTGCTGGGATTACAGAAGTGATCCATCTTGCTCAGCCTGTTGTGGTTTTAGAATCTAAAAGGTCGTGTCCACCTCTTCCTGTTTGACACAGTCAACCAACCAAAATAAAGATGAAGAATAATATTTTTGATGGAAACATCAAAGGTATCTAGCTTTTTAAAATAGTACAACAAATATATAATAGGTGCTCATCACTATTGTAAGACTCTAGGGAGATAGCAGTGAACAAAGCACAAAGTCCCTGCTATCGATGGAGTTTGCAATCTAGTGAAGAAAGAAGCACAGTAAATGACAAAAGAAGTTAATATGCCTGATAAAATGTACTTGGAAAATAGTAGAGTAAGGGCATGGAGAGTAACTGAGGTGAATCCTCTTTTAGATAGGATGGTGCAGCAAGGCATCTCTGAAAAAAAGATGACATTTGAAAAGAGTCCTTTCAGGCCGGGCACGGTGGCTCATGCCTGTAATTCCAGCACTTTGGGAGGCTGGGGCGGGCAGATCACCTGAGGTCAGGAGTTTGAGATTAGCCTGGCCAACATGGTGAGACCCCATCTCTACTATAAGTGCAAAAATTAGCCGAGCGTGGTGGCATGCACCTGTAGTCCCAGCTACTTGGGAGGTTGAGGCAGGAGAATTGCTTGAACCTGGGAGGCAGGGGCTGCAGTGAGCTGAGATCACGCCACTGCATTCCAGCCTGGGTGACAGAGCAAAGACCGCTGTCTCCAAAAAAAAACAAGAGAGTCC